GATTTACTCATAAAAATCCAGGCTTGTCAAAGGGCATTTCGTGTATCGATTCTCGTACTGCAATGATTCCCCGAGCTGTGTGTAATCCACTAGGAGCCAGCTTCTTCCATTTGGTTTGAATTTAAGACCTAATGCAATATCAGATATTCGATCTGGATGCAAGAAACAGCATGGGACAGTGCCACCGCCATTTTGAGTGCGGATGACTTGCGGTTACAAATCTGATTCGCCAGCGCTACGTGTGGCAAAGTGTTCAACGGGGGAGCGAATACGACACAAACTCCGCGTAGCTCGGAGAAGTATCGACTTGTCGTTATAAGCTGTGAAGTGCCGTTAGTGATAATGGCCCACGCAAGACGTTATCCCGACCTTCTGTCTGTTTGTTTAAGTTAAATTTTGTTTGACATAAACAGTTATGTTGGTACTTTTTTTTTTTTAAATTCAGACCGACGCAACGGAAAATGGGGCTCTATCTACGGGGTAAAATGCTTTACCCACACGACCTGATGCTTAGCAAAACTGTTGTATATTTATTGCTGTTTTTTACGTAAACTCTTTTATAAATCATAATTATCGGCCACGCTACCCTGTACCACAAACCCAACCGCACTATACTTCATAAATCTGTATTCATTAATGATCTAATTAACTTTATGTATCAAGGTTTCTTAAGAATTTCATAGGCGCTAAGCTAATCAAGAAATTCCCCACTTTTGAGAGGACCCAAATGTTCATTATCTTTTCACAAAAGCCAGCTATTGGACCTTATTCTGAGCTACACGAATCTAATTCACAATATCCAATCCAATCCAATAATTTTCGTTATCCTATAAATGCCTAGGACTCTGAAGTTCTGTCTTACTTCAAACGTTTGAGCCACCCTTCTACATGCATTTCTCATGACCCTTATGCGCGCTACATACCCTGCCCCTCTAATTCTCTTTAATTTGAACCTTATAATATATTCTGAACAGTACACATTACGGACCTCCTGATTATGCAATTTTCTCGAGTCTAGTCCATTTCTCATAGGTATAAATAATCTTCTAAGCACCCTGTTATAAGACACCTCAATACATGTTCTTACGTTATAATAAGAGACCAAGTTTCACATCCATACAAACCTACATATAAGATTACAGTTCTGTATTTATATTAATTTTCATGGAGGCACAGGCTACATAAATTACTTCAGTATGTTGATGAGATAAATAACTGTATCTTGTATGATATCATTATACAAACACTCTGCACGGCAAGTATTAATTGGTGCGGAATAATCAAAAATTCACCCAATATTGACACATAAATTACATTAAAATCAGAAAACAAAAAAGTAATATTAAGTGTTGGAAATGTCCACATCGTTCAAAGATGCATTCTTGTCCTCATATTTCACGTAACCCGGTTAAGAATTCCCGTGACATGGAAATACTTTGCCAGACGGAGATCGGAGGAGGACAGTTAGAAACAAACCTCACATTTACTGTACAACAGTGTTTATGAAATGTGCATATAAAAAATTGTTCTCAATTCCCACAAAATGTGCATCACAAAATATATGTCAGAAAAAGTTAAATTTAAAAAAAATTATATAAATTCGTGACACCTGATATTGCAATAACTATAAATAAAGTTATTCGTATTATTTCCTTGCCAAAATATCCATCATATATTGATAATATGGTAATATGATGGATTCTTTCATTTCAACTCTGAAGATGGAGATAGCATGTTCATCCGACACATTATTATCTCCCTTCAATTTCACACGGCATCAAAACCCAGAACATTAACACGTGCCAATTTCATAAATGTTAAAACTGGGAAAAATTTACACCTTTAGAAAATGGATAAAGTCCAGTCGAACGGTTATACGAATTCCTTCAACAGCCCTTCAATGAACTCTTCTCGGGCCGTCTGTTACATTACATCAAATATCTACTGTAACCGCATTTATTTCTCTGGTTTGCACTGCGAACTCTTATTATTCACGAGAGTTGCGATTTCGATAAAAAAACAATTCAGCACGGTATAAATATTTACCTCATTAAATTACATAATTCTCTCTGAAACATGTTTAGATGAGCTGTTTATTTATACCAAAACACAAAAAGTTAAAATATTCGCTTCACAAAAGAAATGCGGCTCTAATTACTAGAACTGGCGCACGAGTATAATTTCAATTGATAATATGGTAATATGAAGGATTCTTTCATTTCATATCTGAAGATGGAGATAGCATGTTCATCCTCTACCGACAAACGCCACAATGTATAGAAACGCTAAAATATTGCACAGACAGGATTTAGTCCTAAATGAGCGTTAAAATGTAGGCGTCAAGAGAGACGTTCATACAGACGAAAAATTAAAAAACCGACCGACTAGTGACTGTGACGTCAGATCGGGTCTTTAAGCCTCGTGTATTTCGAAGTAGGAACAAATTATGACGAGAGAGGGCGAAATCACTCCAAAAATCATAAGCTCAGGGAACAATGTTTCAATCCGTAAATATCCACTTAACGTCTAATTGCTCACGCTGTACACCAAATTGTGCGCTTCGCCCACGTCACTACATATACTACGTAAACCAAAGACATTAGCGCCACTGGAATATATGAGTTTAGTAATGTACGTTCACTACTAAAAACATAGACCACTTTACTGTGTCCTCTTATGAGTGTATACTATTGAAAACACGAAAAAGAGTCAAACTCACGTTTGTTGACTTCCGGTTGACATGGGAGCAGCCAGCCTGGAAGAAATGCAGAGAAAAGTCAGTGGAAGTTCTTCAATAGCTTCCTCTGGAGGAATGTTTTCATATTCAGATGGATATAAAAAAAAACTGGTAGTACTTTGAAGTGAAGTTCCACTATCCGAACGAAGGCACTCAGGTGGAGATTAATTGTCTTTTAGTCATGAAACACAGTACCAAGGGACAGCTATATCTCATTCCGCGTATCGTGTAAAATAAAATTGGAATAAAACGTATATTACTGTTTACAGAATGTTCAAATTCGCAAGGGATTTGCAGTGCATTAAAATAATTAATAAAAAATGCGGAAATACGATCATAAACCACTAATCGTGAGCGGTACATAATATTACCGCTTGTAATTGTGCCATTTTTCCTATACAGATTCACCACAAAACATAATTATGTATTTCCGTGAACGGTCAGATCAATTTGTATAATCATTTTAAAAATTTTCTTGGACTGTCTCCATCGTCTACATTTCAACAGAATCAAAAAACGTTTTAGAACCTGCATTCTGCTTCCTTCTTCAGGTAAAAGAAAGGAAGACAACTGAAAACCTATCTCTTGGACCACGTGATTGAATATCACAATATGACGCAACTTTACCATTTCATACACTCGGTTAAATAATATTTTATGACAATTTTTCAGAGGTCCTTGTTTCCCCATCGCCCTGATGATGGAGGCAGCAAGGACCTCTGAAACGCTGGCAAACTTCTACCAGACTACATGGCGCTACAATCCAGAAGACAGCCATCTTCGTACTTACCACCGTGAGAACCTAAAATATCACTTATAACTAAACACGCGCTAATGAAAACCAATGCACTGGAATCGCTTAAGCCAAAAGAACTGTAGATGAAGACAAGAAAGTTATTTTTCAATTCGTTTTTATTTTAATATGATAATGATGCCACGGTGGTCCAGCGGTTAGAACGCTGTCCTTGTAATCCTGGGGTCTCGGGTTCGATTCCCGGCGGTACCCGAATTTATAACTTGTGTTGGGCAAAGCCGTGGTCTAGGCAACACGAAGTTTTCCTCATTGCTTGCTATTAAATCTTCCCAACTACACCCAGCGCCTCTGACGGCTGAACGGGCAGTGACTAGCCCAGCGAGGATTCTACGCTCATATCGGTAGCCATGGTTACACTCAGGTAGTAATGACGTGTTCATTCTAGAACTTGGCTGTGTTCTGGGATGTTGCGCGGTGTAGTCTGGCAGGAACTGACAGGCGTTTCAGGGTTCTTACAGCCTCGATGATCAGAGCGATGAGTCATCTCTGAAACGTCGTTCAATTTCAACTAAACTCCAGGACGCTATCATCCCAGAACACAAGTCATCTTCAAGCTCGTCGTCGGGAGAACGTAATGTGTCACATGACAATTATTGCTGCTGTTTATTTTTACGAGTTCCACCCTATGTCCCCTAGAAAATCTGACTTCATGGAAGCATGAATTCCTTACAATATTCAGATTCTCCATGGTTAACCATGCAATTGCTGATGACGTAAGAATTCCTGCTATAATAACACTTTTTCTGCAGGGTTTGTATTTTTCTAAAAAATCACAAATCTCACGTTCAGACATCGGGATCAATAATTGCTTCAAACAGTGTACATCTGTAAAAATCCTAAAATCGCTCGTGACAGTGGAGAGGAAATAATGAGCGGTTCTGGTCTGGGAGACCGTTCTTCGATTTCCGGTAATGACAGGTAATTTCAGGTGTACTTGTAACACAGCTCAAAAAATGCGTCTATTCGCCTCGTTATTTCTGTCCGTTTGTCGCATGTGACAACTTGATAACCGCAAACCTCACATTGGGGAATTCTGCCAAAATTTCATTTACATATGTTCAAGTTTTGTTAAAATCAAAAAAAAAAGTATCGGGTACTTTACAGCAAGACCTACACGCACGGGTGACATCAGAAATATGCAGACACTCCGCCAACCAAAGACAACTATGACGTCACTTGTGACATTCGTAATGATATATACGGATGAAGCAGTTTTCCGCAACTACTCACCCACCTAACAGACTTAACGTACCAGAACTGTTACGCTTTGCGTACATTTCCTAATTTGTACTTTTAGCCAACGTCCACACTGTCTCTGTGGTCTCCATATATACCTTTATGGCATGGCGACTAATTAATTAAATTGTACCTAAAAGGACGTTGTAGATTTTTGTGTTCCCCAAAGAATAATACATCGTAGATTTTAACTGCCATTCCCACGCTTGGATATTTACTCATAAAACTTCAGTCTTGTATGTTCCAGCTACAGTCAAAGGGCATTTCGTGTATCGATTCTCGTACTGCAATGATTCCCCGAGCTGTGTGTAATCCACTGGGAGCCAGCTTCTTCCATTTGGTTTGAATTTACGA